AGGGGTGGGGTGGTAGGGGTAGGGTGGGATGGTAGGGGTTGATGTATTAACAACTTAGCTTTGATTTAATATATTTTGACTTTAAGAGATTAAAGTGGGTTACAACCATTTTACCCAAACCATATTTGATCAAATCCATATTTACACCATATTGGGTGAATTGTGATCCAATCCATTTTCACTCAATCCATCCAAATCCGATCCAAACCACCCATTTGCCACCCCTAATCATTGGTTGGGGCCACCCATCGGTAGCAAACGTTATTTGATTCTCTATCAAGATCGGAGGAGCTTTGACATCATGTTAAAAATATAGATGCAAAATCGAAGAATAAGAGACTTTTGGGAGAAATTTCCTCTTCTTTCTTATTTCTTCTTATTCATACATCACAACATCACCTCCTTTTATAGCCTAGATTTGATTTCTTCTTTCCTAACAGAATTACAATAAAGTTCTTCATGTCCCAGTAGGACTAGCAGTTCGTTTGGTTGGGAACAAGTTATCCAGAATTAATTATCCTGGGATAACTTATCCCATCACTATGGTGTAAATGATGGGATAAGTTATCCCAAACATGACAACCAAACAAGACACCAAATTTTTATCCCATGACTATTTTTTCCACACCAAACGACCCGTTAACTTCATCAACTTAGAAGGAAATTTTAAGTGTTGGTATATAGGTCAAAGCAACACTAAGTGGGAGGGAAATTTTAAGCGATAGAGAGTTGAGTTGATTATAGAAAGGTCGAGACTCGAGACGTGGGAGGTATATTAGCTAGTAAAGAAGACTAGGCTTGGTCTCAGACAATTGTTCCAATAAGAATACATGCAATCTTGGCATATAATAATACTAAGGGTGTGTTTGGTATGAAGGAAAATGTTTTCCTAGAAAATGTTTTCTTGGAAAACAAGTTGATTTTTGACTTATTTTCTCATGTTTGGTTGGTGAGTAGAAAATATTTTCCGGAAAAGATTTTTAGTGTTTGATTTATGAATAAAAAATATTTTTGAGAAATATCTTTTATTTTTACTAGAGTAAAAAATAATTTTTGAAATTGAAAATATTTTTTTAAAAACAAATTTAATTTTTTTGGGGGGGGGGGGGGTGGTAGGG